TAGTTATTGGATATATTTAGACTAATTAAGTTCATTGGCAGAACAATTGAATGGGGGGGAGAAGGCATGGAGGGCAACCATGGATGCCAGGGACAATGTGGGAGGAGGATGGGACATAGCAGAGGGTGGGGGATGGGGAATCAAGGATGGCAAAACAAAAGGCAAGGTATGCAGGATGTAAGAATTAGAAAATTATTTGCTGAGAACATGTATGTTGATGTGCTTGATTGAGCCAATGCACAGTGTATTTTGGATGGAAAATTCATTTGTGTGTTGTGACGGTGTATAGTGAATTAATGTAGAGAATGAATAAATTAAAAAAAAAAAAAGAAATAAAATACAGAATCTATGCCATATGATCTACTTATGTGCAGTCCGAAACACAGTCAAAGCTGAATGACGGGTTTCAGGACGCACACTCCCGTGCCGACGCCACAAACGAGAGCCAGGAGTGGGCCCGCACTCCAGCCAGGGCGGGGTCTCCTGTAGGGAGGAGCACGGGGCTCTGGGCGCTGGCAGCCCCGCCCCTCCGCTGCGCTGGGACCAGGGCCACAGTGGATGCTGGCTCCTCTGGTGGGAAGAGTGGGCTGCATTCCTGGCTCTGCTTGCCCCTGTACACACAGGGTGTGTCTTCCTCAGTTCACAGAAAGTGAGACGAAAGCCAAGTGCTAGCCATGACAGTTCTCGTTCTTGGATTGCAAAGTGGGTCCCTCTAAAAGTAAACTGATAGGTTAATTATATAAAATCATTAACACAAAACCTACCCTGACTTCTGTTCCCCCAGCAACAGACTTACTCTGCTTAATCTAGAGACAGCCAGAGAGACGGACGTCTTAAACTCTTCCGGGTTCTTCTGCGCTAACGTGGTGATCAGACTGGTGGCGGCGGTCACCACGCCCTGAAAGGAAAACACACAACAGCAGACATTTGACTCCAGTCCAATACTTGGATCTGCCCACCCATCTCAGACTTGTTTTCCCAAGTGAGATGTAAGCTAAGAGCAAGACAGCGGAAGCCCTCAGGCCTCTTCTGATGCCCACAGTGTTTCCGGAACTCGAGATAGCACACGGGTTGCTGTCTTTTTCCAGCTTCTCTGAAAACGGGAAAATCCGGCCATCTTGCCCAGGTCCCTGCCCCGCAGGGTGGCGAGCGGGCAGAGCGGCTCTGCAGTCCCAGCCTGCCTGCGCAGGGCCCCAGTCCCTGCTGGGCTGAGAACCGCGGGCTCCATGTGCACTTGCTCGCCTGAGGCGGACGTCCACCTGAGCTACAGAAGGAGACGTGTCCTTAGGCTCGTCCGGCCCTTTATAGCCCACAGGTGAGACTAGGCAGCAGCAACTGAAAGTGGTCCTGGCTCCTGGCTCCATCTCTGCCACTATCCCCCAAGCACCGCCAGCCAGACAGGAGCCACCAGGCCCAGCACACAAGCCACCCCCTCCCCGCAGAGCTCCCTCACCACCTGCCCCGGCAGGCATGCACTCGGATCCCAGTGGGGCGCAGTCTTCCGTGAAGCACAAGGAGTCCTTACTGCCCCAGGACAAGGGAATGCAATTCACAGTAACCCGCTTTCTTCACACATTTTGCTTAGGTAAAACAGTTCTCTTGCAAATATAAGACAAGCGATAAAGTGACCTTTGTTAACTCTGCAGAGCTGAACGCTGCCTCAGGAAATATCTATGAGACCCATTTATTTACTCCTCCTGCTCGCCTGCACCCCGCTCCTGAGCCCGAGTGGGGGGCATAGCAAAGTTTCGGCAGCTGTGACTCAACGATGACAATGGTGACCATGACAGTCAAGCCAGGAGCCACGTGCTCTTCCCAGAGAGCACCCGCTGCATGGTTCCCTCAGCTTTCTAAGAGTGTGAGAGCTCTTTAAAGAACTGATCTGACCAGTCCTAAACAGACATTCCTCTGCGGGCAGAAAGTAGGTGTAGCAGGTTCCCCAGGTCCAACAGAGGACATTAAAGAACCTGAGCGTTCACAATGTGTAGATGCCACGAGGGCACAGATGTGCTTGCCACGGGGCTCCTAAGCATGTGGAATGAGCCTGATCCAAGCGACCGCTCAGTTACTGAGTTCAGCTCTCACTGTGCCCGGGCGCTCCCCTCTCTGCAGGGAGTCTCTGTGTGAGGGGCATGTTGCTGCACTAGCTTCTAGCCCCTAGCCCTGCCCCAAGGCTTCTCCCGAGAGCAGCTCAGGTTGCAAATCACAATGCAGCCCTCAATGGAGCTCCCCGGACCCTCCTGACAACTGCACCTCTGGCCTTTGTCCACCAGGGCCTGCCATGCCTCCCCACCCACGCCACAACCCCCTGCTCCTCCACTACTCTCTGAAGAGAACAGGGCTCCTTTACTTGGGGCTGGCAACTAATGGTTTTCTGGAGAGCCCCTAAAATTAAGGCCAGAGACAGCAAAGTCTCGGGCCTTATCTGCAGGCAAAGCCGGCGGGGTGTGCTACAAAGGAAGACAGCCTGAGAGGTGCAAGAGCACACCCCAAGAAGCACGGAGATGAAGAGCATGCTGGGCAGCGGGGACACCCTGGACCTCATCCACTCCAGACCAAGAACGCACTGATCAACACACCTGACAGAACAGCCGGGCCCAGGGTGAAAATGCAAAAGCAAACCAATAGCGGGGGTCACAGAATCCTAGAGTGTCAAATGACAGACACCCTCATGGCCCCTAAGGCAAAGCCACCACCCTGTCACGCACTCAGTATGCCCTGGAGCAGCAGGAAGCTCCCCCAAGGCAGGAGAGGGCAGCAGCATCTGTCAGAGCCACAGGGCAGTCGCAGGCATGGCCTGCAGCAAGCTCTGTGTGAAGAGGAGAGCCCTCAGCCCCGTGAGCAAGCCCACACCTGGCCACGTGTCAGGCAGGCCTCACACAGGGACAGAGGGCCAGCCCCACTGACCAGGCATTGCCCACCTGCCCACTCACTGCTCCTTCACGGTCCGCCCCACCTGCACACTCACATAATCTAGGGCAGCCCACACCCCGGCTCACACCTGCCAAACCTCCTGTTAAAGCCCGGGTCTGTAAGAAACCATTTCAGTTTCTGACCTCGGCTCCCTCACCTGCAAGCTGGAGAAACCCCACTGCCTGACTGTGTCTGTTTGGTGGGGTAACGTGAAACTGGGACCGAGCGGGAAAAGGAAAGTCGGGGCGGGAGCCACTAGCCTCATGTTCTGCCCGTGCAGGGTGAGTCCTCACACGAGGCAGGCCAGGCCAAGCCGGCTTTCGGCAGCAGCACCTGCAGTCTTCCTCCGCCGGTCCTCCATGCCCACACGATATGACCATCAGACCTTCTTAGTCCCAGTGAGCCCACGTGGCTGTCAACCACACCCAGTGCAGCCACCCGATCACCTTCCTCCGAATCTACATGCATGAAATTTAATTCCAAGGCAGACTTCTCTTCTGGGAAGACAGCGCCGTTACTGGCTGGCACACACATCCCTGTGTACTCGGTGGAAGTACTTCTGGCACTGATTCTGGGTCTCTCACTTATACCCCAGCAGCAGGCAGGCCTGGCACTCAGCCTAGCCTCCGCCCTCACCTGACACGGTGGGCAGACTGCAGCACCAGCCCGGCAAGCGCACACCCTCACCTGGGCCCCCTGGGTGGGGGCAGGTCCTGTGCCCCACTTCTAGCCATCACAGTTGAGTGTTCTAATCCTCAGTCCTCATCTATAAAAGAGGCTGGCAGTTGGGCCTGGTTCCTGGAGTGTTCGTGGAGGTTAATACAACTGCATGTCAGCCCCAGGAGCTCCATCATGGCCCTCAATCACCTGGCAGGGACCAGGTGGGAGCCGCCCTGCAGGCAGTGTCCAGAAGTCGTGCTCCTGATCTTGTACATCTTAGAGCCTCCTGCCGAGTAAACACAGGCCAGAGGTGGGGAGCCCCTGCCCTCGGCCCAGGGCTCACAGGCACGTCAGACACGCAGCTGCAGCAGCGCCTCAAGTGCCCCCCAACCCCGGCATCACGAGAAACAGCCCTGGGCTGCCTTTCTCCGGCCGCTCCAAGAAAAAGACTATTTCGGGAAGTGGGAGATGGGGCTCAGGTCGGACCCAAAAGCACTTACCAAATGCTGGTCGTTGAGGAGGTGCACCACGCGGGATGTCCAGTCACCCATGGGGACGAGATCAGGAGACGTTCTGTACAGGCGCAGCAAACACAAGGCAGCACTCTGCTTCACGCTGTCCATGGTATCTCTGAAATAGACACCGGGGGTCACTCGAAGACACCACGGGCCTGCCGTGTGGCCCCACAGCGCTGAGCACAGCACAGAGCTACTGAGAACATCCCAGAGTCACCAGGAGTCAAGAGGGGCATCAGAGGGTCTGGCCTGCAGGGTCAAGAGGCCTGGACAGCATGCAGAGTAAGGTCACTCAGGCCCCTCCTCCACCAAGAGTTCGCTCTAGCCAATGGCACAGAGCTCACAGCTGCACGGGGCAGAGGCCTACGGCTGAAGCTCACTGCCTGCTACCGCACCTCCAGAGAGGGTAACGCCGGTGTTTTTCCCAGTAGCTGGGCATAACCGTGGCTACACGGGCTAGCCACACTCAGCTAATGTTGCTCGTTAACTGTTTCAATTACGGCATCTCATGATTAACAGTCCCCAATCACAACAGAAAAGTGCCTAAAGGCCTCATGGCCACAGAATGCCATCTCTCTCTCTTGCCAATCTCTCTCGCTTCCAAAATAATCATTAGGGTAGCCTCCTCAGCCCCTCACCCAGCCTCACTGCCCTGTGAGGAGGTGGGAGGCCGGGGGCCACCACAGCATGGGAGTACCAACATTATTCCTAATGCCCTAAAACGGGCAGGGCCTCGACATGCACCACGAGATTAACAAATGGGCAACTATTCTATTGCCAGAGGGCATGTGTGCTCGCCAGAGAGTGAGAGAGAGAACCCTCGACAGGACACGGCCACCCCACAATTCTCTTTCCTCCACTTCCCCATCAGGATACCCTGGGCACAGGGCTGGGATGGGACCACAGTCAGCTGTATGCGATCTGGTTCTTGATAAACTATGCTTAACCACTGCCCTAGACGGTCAACCCCAATAAATGGAAAATTTTAAGAGAAACCTATACAGGCAAAAATAAATACCGTTTATTTATAAACTATGTAAATTGCCTGTAAGTAAACACGACAATGCAAATATTGTCATTTCTGTGTCTCTCCCTGGCCGTTAGCCTCGTGCATATGTATGAACCAATCCCCTCTCTTTGTTCCCTGTGCAGTCACCCCACCTTCTCAATCACACTACATGACAGTCTTGGACTGGCTCAGCTGGGGACCCCACCTCCTCGAACTGGAGGTGCTCTGCTCTCCCCTGAGCAAGCACCAAGAGGTGGACAGGGGCTTCAGGTCACTGCAGATACCTTAACATGCTTGCTGAAGACAGGGTGTTCAGTGCTCTGTTTATCCCTCCTTCTCCCTATCCTCAGTCAAGTTCTGGAGGAGGCAACAGACCCACCAAAGAATACTCTTTGCAGAGGCTATCAAAATACACCTGAAAAAGGGCTTGTCTGTTCTCAAAGGCCTCACACTCAGTGGGAACTGTAGCTCCATCTGGAAGGAGGAGAGGGCTTAGAAACCATCTTTACCATTTATATCTTAGCTCTTGCTTTATTATCCCTAAATGGGACCAAACCATGAGACACCTCCAAATCTCCCACACTACTCCAAAGAAAAAGTACTTCTTTGAGAGAAAGAGATTTTTGCTACAGGGCACGTGGGCTCACTGGAGAGACAGAGAGACAGACACAGAAAGTGAGAAATTACCCCCAGGGGGATGGCAACACCGCAGTCCCATCTCCATTCTCCCTCTGGGATCTGGGGCATGCTCACACAGGCGCACACACACATGCCCGGTGTGAGTTTCAAGTCACCGGGTTGGGACTCGAATTGCAGTTAACCACGTGGCAGTCCAGCACCTTAACCACTATGCCACAAGAAAAATCCCTTTGAGTAAAAAAGTACCTTTTAGGATGCAAACATCCCCGGGGAAAGCAGCAGACATCTGCCTCTCCTCTGGCCCTGGGCAAGAAACGCGCCGTGCTTCCTTGACGGTGGCTGGTGATGCCATCTAGGCTGTGCGCGGCTGCTGTCACCAGATGGCTCCTGGGCCCTCCCAAGACTACATGCCAACAAGCCGTCTTTCAACATACTGGTTCAAAGCAGCTAGCATGATTTTAGGCATGCAACTACAAATGCTAACCACAACAGGAGGGCTATCCGACCACCATTTCCAGCTTAACGGTAAGTGGGGACTTCCCACAGAGACACTTCCACACGAGACCAGACAAATGAGAAGCATGATCCGCTGACCCGTACAAGGCAGGAAGGCTGAGGCGCACCACTGCCGCCTCGGTCAGGCCACAGCGGTTCCGGGGCTGTCCCCTGTGCACTTCGGCCACAGCCCTGAGCAGCAGATAAAGACGCTGCATCACTCTTCTCAGCCATCTCTCTCCCAGCATCCCTGCTGGCCAGGACCTTCGCTGTAACGAAGCTGCACAGTTCAGCTGTCCCTCCCGCCCTCCTACCAGTGACCACAGGCAGCACCATGACACCTCCACCCCTAAGCGAAACTTAATTACTTAGCTGGATTTCAACAGTCAGTTACTCTGAAGCCAGCAGATGGCATGATGGTTAAGGCACTGGGCTCCCATATGGCTGAGCGTGGTTCAAGTCCTGGACCTAGCAACTTACTTTCTCTTTCTATCTCTCTTTGGTGAGTATAAACTTAATAATAATAATAATTTTTAAAATTAAATCTTTTTTTTTTTTGAGAAGGGCTGTGGCGCTATAACTTTTATTTGCTTACATCCTCTGTCCCTGGAGGACAGCCCAATTGCTCCAACAGCACCAGGCCAAGCTGCCTTCTAGCTGCAGGCACCACCACCTGGCTTCTGCTGAGGGATCTTTTCTTTTTCTAATCACCAAAGGATTAAAAAACTCACCAGAGAGATACAAAGGAACAGAGGGAGCAGAAGAAAGTACCCCCAGTGGGGTGTGGGCACCCTGCAATCCCTTCTCCATTTCTCCATCCCATCGGGTTCTGGGGCATGAACACACACGTGCTCAGCATGTTTTTTCAAGCCCCCAGGGTCAGGATTTGAACCGCGGTCAGCCACATGGGATCTGGATTCCCGTAACCACTAGACTTCAGGGTCAGTCCAAGGGCTCTTTCCTGACCCCTCTGGTCCTCGCCCAGGCTGGCCTCCATGTCCACCCTCGGTTCACCCCTCAGCACATGCCTTTCCTTCAGGGAGACGCTCGGTTTGTCGGCCTGGACCCTCCTCAGGGAGCACGCAGTCTTAGTTTTCTGTGCCCCGCATCAGGCTCTCTATGAACAAGGCACTGCTCAGAATCCTGGAAGCACTGCAGGAGCCACGACGAACAGTCTCAGACCCCAGGGAGCTTGGCTGAAGGCAGAGGCAGGCTAGAAACAGACAAGTCACGGGTGCTGTGTGCCAGCACAGGGCGCAGGCAGTGACCGCAGGTGCAGGGCGGAGGCTCAAGGAGGTCTCACTAGCAGCCCTGAGGCAGCCCTAGCCAGTAAAGGGAAGCTGCAGGTTCAACACAGCCATCAGGGAGGAGGGCGGCCTTGAGGTGGAAACTTTGTTTCTTTTTTTTAGAGGTTTTTGCCATAGGGTATGTACACTTGCCAGGGAGAGAGACAGAGACAATGATCCTGGGCTCTTGGGCACGCATGCACACGTGACTGGTATGATCTTTAAGTGACCAGGTCCAGGACACGAACTGCACTCTGCCATGTGGGATTCCAGAGATGTAACCACTAGGCCATCTGCTGGCTCCTAGGCCCACCAACTTTTAAGCTCTTACATTCTGAGTTTGTTTTCCTCCCAGTGTCTCTGCCAGCCTGGCTCCGCCCTCTGCCTGTCCTATGACACATCACGACTCTCCTCCAGCTCGCACGGCCAGTCTGCTACTGCTTTTCACGTTGCTCACAGCTAAGGTGCTCAGTCCGGCCAGGGCTCCTCGGTGACGCACGGCTGATGGCAAGGCTGGATGACGCCGCGCTGTGGGGCTGTGCTGCACAGTGTTCGGGGTTTCGCAGCATCCCTGGTCTCTACTGCCTGACAGGCATACCCCCTCCATGACAACCAAAGCTGCCCGAGACACTGCCTAAGACCCCACGACAAGACGGGCTGGCTGGAACCCTTCCCAGCACTTTCACCCCGTCCTCACTGTGGCACCTCAGTGCCATGTCTACCTGCTTTGCTGTGGCCCGAAGACCCTGCTCGGCACGTGGACAGGCCGTCCAGATGAAGGCTCAGCCCACATGTCACAGTCTGTGGGCTGTGGGGCTAGTCCCAACTCAGCAGGGCCTCCTGGAGCACAGCTGGTGGGGGCTTTGCCTTGCCACGCCCCGAGGCCCAGGTCGGGACAGGGCTGCTCTGCTCTTCCAGCACTGGCTGCTCGGCGTCACTCGGCTTCTCTCCAAATTAATGGGGACGGGGAGGCAGACAAACGACAGAATGCTCAGAATGTTTGTGCTTGGCGTCCTCTGCACTAATGCCCTGGCAGAAGGGCAAAACGAAGAGCCATAACATACTACAGAAAGGTTCTGCATTTTCCCCCTTGGTGCCCAGCTGAAACGGAAGCCCTTTCTTGCTCTGGTTGTAGTTGGCGGGTTTGAGCTTTCTTCTTCAACGTGTGTTTTAACCTCAGTGGCAAGACCAGCCACAGTAGGCGGCCACAGCGTGCCATTCTGCAATGGAACGTCCACACGGAAAAGAGGGGTTTGGTCCTCGGGTCAACCTGCAAGCACAGGACTGCGACAGGCCACAACCATGCCGGCTTGAGGAGGATCACAGGGAGACCCTGCTGGGAGTGCCTGTGTCTCTCTCTGTGTCTCGTTCTCTGTTCCTCTCCCTCTCAAGAAAGAAAGAAAGAAAAAATAAACTTTAAGAAAAAAGACCTGCAGGCCAGCAGGTAGCAGGGTGGTTGAGGGCTCTGGACTCCCACATGGCCGACTGAGGTTCGAGTCTAGGACTTGGTGGCTTGCTTTCTCCCTCCCCTCCTCCCATATTCTGTCCCTCTCTTGTCAAATTAAAACAAATAAAGTTAAATGAAATAATTATTAAAAAAAAAAATCTCAGTGGTACCGGAGAGGCAAAGTCTAACCGGACCCCACCTGAAATCTAAAACCTGTAGTTCTTGATCCAGCCTCAAATCTCCCCATTAAATAAAACAGAGAGGGGGAACCAGCAGTTAAGAGTAATGGCTATGTCGCTGGACTCCCACGTAGTCGACCGCGGTTCGCGTCCTGGACCTGGTGGCTTAAAACTCACGCCTGGCGCGTGTGCGTGTGTGCCCAAGATCCCAAGAGGAGAATGGAGGAGAAGGGATTGCAGCATGGCCATCCCCCCTGGGGGGTGATTTCTCGCTTTCTGTCTCTATGTCTCTCTCTCTCTGTCTTTCTGGCGAGTGCACGCGCCCTACAGCAAAAACCTCTCAAAAAAAAACAGAGAGGGGCCAAGGTGGCTAAGGAGATGTGGTGCAGTGGTTAAAGTGGTGGACTCCCACATGGCTAACCGCAGTTCGAGTCCCAGACCTGGCAGCTTCTTATCTCTCTCTCTCTCTGGTGAGTACATGCGCCCAATAGAAAATTTAAAATAATAATAAATAAAGTAAAATAATTCTTCAACAATAAATAAGTAAGCAAATGGCGAGATGAAAACCTTAGAGATTAAGTAGCTACATATGCGATGTAGTTAACACGAGGCAGAAGCCCATTTCCAGTGGGCGACCAGGTACATACCCAGCCACGAGGATCTTAGGGATCTCCCCGGCGAAGGCCTCGGCCATCTCCCGACTGCCGACGTTGGCGATGCAGTGCAGCGCCAGGCCCATGAAGGTGGGGTTCCGACTGGCCAGGTCATTCTTGATGGCGTTGTTGATCAAGCGGATGAGCTCACTGTTGGAGTTCACCAGCACAGAGATGAAAAGGTAGCCCTGTGTTCATGATGACAGAGAGCACAAAGTTCAGACAGTTCAAGGCCTAGGCCTGACGGCCTGACCCCTCGCAGCCCACCCTGCCTGCCCTGCGCGGCTGCGAGGTCTGCAGCTCAAGCACTCCTCTTCCCTCGGGGTGGTGTCTGTGCTCACGGGGCACATCCTGGTCTCTCCTACTGAGACTGCCTACCAGTCACAGCCCTCGATCTGACAACCAAAAACGCCTGGGGCAAGACAGTCTGGTTGCAAGCCCTGGTCTAGCTCTGTCCCTCTGACACCTTCCCACCACTTCGCCCCAGCTCCTGCCATGGACAGTGTGCCCACGAGATGAGCCTGACTAAATGCAGCTGGTCAGGTGCCACGTAGGAACCAGACCCCTCATCGCTTCCCCAGGCCCGTGGTCACACCATCCTTGCCTTGGGATGGGAAGGACCACCTTGCTGTCACTCACAATACTAATTTCTGAACCCACCCGACTGCTGTCCACACCCTCCCAATTGAGCCCCCAGTATCACACAGTCACACCCTTTCTAAAGGAGGATGACGTAATGATTTTCTTGAGACCCATGTGACTGCTGATCACACAGCTTTGCACAGTTCCGAGGGGAGCAGCCCTCTGGGCCCGCCCTCTGCGCTCCAGCTGCAGCTGCCCTTCCAGTTCTGTAGTCTCTGCTCTCTGCCCGGCTCCTCCTGCCCTCACCCCTCAGTCTCACTCAGGATGCCTTTGCCAGAGCGCTGGCCACAGGTGCATCCACTTGTCTCAGTGTGCCAAGGGTCTCTGACACGGTGCCACAAAGCCAGGTGGAGTAAATGCCGACAGTGCGCACCACACACTCACAATCTGCTTCTCCGTGTATCTGTTCGAGCTCAGCAGGTTCACGGCCTCCATGTGTCCGAAGTCGATGTCATGACCAAGCAGAAAGATGAAGAGCAGCTTGCACACGTACTTTTTTTTACTGTAGCCATCAAGAGCCTTGTCACCTACAGAAAAGGTGGGCAAAGGTTTTACTCCAGGTGGGCGAGGCAGAGAGCTGAGCGCTCGGTGGCAGGGCAACAGGAAGCCAGCAAGGAGCCTCCGAGGGAGGGCAGTGGGCTTGGGCAGCTGCTGCAGATGCCACGGGCAGTGAGGCCACGCTTCTAAAACGGGGCCATCAGAGCCCGACTTTCTGGCTTCCCTTTTAGAAACAGACACAGAGCAGGAGAATCCTGGGCAGGTACAGTCGCCGGCCTCGCTCCAACCTGCCACAATCCCACCGAGGCCCTGCAGCGACAGGACTGTCAAACCCTGTCATAACCAACCAGTGACTCTCCTAAGGAAATGTATTAACTTAGGCATTCTCCCATTTCACAACAGTTTCAGGACACACCATGTAGCCACAAAAGTGAGACACACGCACATGTGAACACGCACACACAGGCACCAAAGGACTCCTGCTCCTTTCCCTAATCACAGCGACCTGAACGCCTCAGCAGGGCTCCCGACAAGGCAGAGTCAAAGCACGTAATTAGCAGAAAATACAACTCCACTTTAAAAATGACCATTCAGGGGCCAAGCGGTGGCACCGCAGTAATGTGGCATGACCCCCACGGGAACGGTTCTGGGTTCGTGTCCCAGGACCCCACGACCTCCAGGCGCAAGCCAAGAATGCCTACATAGCCCGTGACCCAGGTCCACTGGGGGTGAAAACCCTGCTAGGGATGCCTGCCTTCCTCGAGAAATAAATGAATAAACTTACAAAGCAGCGCCATTTTTTGGAGTTTAGTTAAATGTCCCTAGCACTCCCCAAGTGCTGGTGGGCCTGCACGTGTGCCAGCTCCCTACCTGGCCACCTACGAGCCCACGTTCAACAGCAGAAAGCCCTCCACCGGAAAGCGCCAGCGCCACACTCCTAGCACAGACTCCACCGCCTCCTGGAAGCCTTCTCTGACACAACCAAAAATACACACCATCCCCTTAGCTCCCGGAGCCTTGCCCTGGCACTGCCCAAGGGGAACAGCAGCGTGAGAGCAGAGAGAACTGACAGCCCTGCTCACACTGGACTCCAGCAACATGTCGCCACAATCGTCCATGAGTCCGACAGAGTTCTGCTCCAGCAGGACCCGGAGCAGGAGCCCCTCTGTGCCCGCCCAGTGCGTGGAAATCCCAGTGGGCACCCTCTCAGAAGCCAAGCCCGCAAGAAAGCAAGTTAGGGCAACTGTTAGGGCAAGACAATGCGGTGACCAAGGCCACAGGACGGAGCCTCAGCCCTCGAGACGGACAGAACTCGGGGAGAATGCAGTGCCCGCGAGGCAGCCTGGGGGCCTCACTGAGGGTGGAGGGCAGGGGGAGACCAAGAGGGTAAACTGACAGGAGACCCTGTCTAAACCAGAGACGCAAAAGGGGCTGCCTCCTCAGTGAGAGGGTGGGTGGGGAAGACCTGCGCCTGCAAAGGGAACCGGCACAGACGGCCATCTGTCTGCCACAGTCCCAGCAGGAGCAAATGGCTGCCTGCAGGCCAAGAGTGCGGCCCAGGCCAGCAGGGGTGGCAGACACACAGCGGGGGGCCAGCAGGGGTGGCAGACACACAGCGGGTCCCTCTGCCCAGGCACCCCAGAGCCTGCCCCACCTGCCGTGACCTGGGCCCAGGCCGCGGCTCACTTTCTCAAAAGTGACCTCCTGGGCATCACTCTTCCTTCCCAAGGAACCCAGATGAGTCCCCAGCCCTGAGTCCTTTCTCTGTACAGCCATTCTCTCTCACCGGGACTCCATGCAGACACCAGCTGGGCTGGGCTGGGCTGCCAGGCTGCCGCTGTCCAGTCTGACCTGAAGGAGGCGCCCTTGGGCTCACTTCCCGACACACCTGTGGTCAGCTGGAGAGGTCTGTGGAGCTTCTGGTGAGCTCCCACTGCAGCCCCCGGCCGGCCTGCTGTCTCGGGGCTCATTGTGACCCCGGTCTGTCTCAGCCGCAAGGGCTGCAGGCTTTAAGAAGCTGGTGAAAGATCTTCTAGGGCACACGACCGTTCTTCAAGTGCCTTTGTCCTCAGTAAGTGCGAGGAGCAGGGTCCAGGGCTGTACCTACACTCCTCGTGGAGCACCGGCACCCAGGCCGACGAGGCGCCCCGAGGAACGAGGCGCCCCGAGGAACGAGGCGCCCCGAGGAACGAGGCCCAGAGCACCCGTCGCAGGGAAGGCATGTCACTGCCCCTCAGCTATTGTCTCGACACATCTAGCACACATCCTGGTCACTCCATGAGTATGAAAAGTCCAAACCTGACACCCAGGAAGACATGACAGCAAATCACAGGCCAGTCCTCAACTCCAAAAATCACCACCAGGACAGAGGCCCTGTGCCACAGCAGGTAGCTCCTGCCCTGCCCTGCATGCTTAGGCCCAGACACTGCCCTTTAGGCCTCTCCCCTTCGTGCTCTCTCAGCTGCGAGCGCTGGAGGGACAGGACTGGAGAAAGGGGAAGTCTCGGGTGGGTCAGTCTGTGGGCCTGAGGCTGGGAGACCTGGGGCAAGGCAGTCTGGTTGAAAGCCAGCTCTGTGCGCTGTGCAGCCTGCAACTTCAGCCTGGAGATAACCTTCCTGAGACTCTCTCGATAGAATCCTAGTGTCCACAGCAGCACCCAGACCCTCTCTGCAGCGCCTATGCCACTCACTAGGGACAGAGGCCCCAGCCCTCTGCATGCCCACCAGGGCCTGACCTGACCAGCAAACTTCTCTGCTCTTCAGGGCTCTGGGCTGGGCTCCCTTTCACTCCAGCCCTGAGAAGGGGCCCCTCCACATCGTCCCCCAGAGGGCTCTCCTTCAGCCTGAGGGAGCAGGCCCATCTCCTCATACCTACGGTCACTGCTGCCTCAGAGTTCAAGCATTCTTGCAGATAAGCGTCCCTCTCTAACCCACTGTGTGTGGGACCCAGACTGGTACAGTCCCAAAACGCTAGCTTTAGTACTGGCCTAGAATTACTGTTTAATTCCAATAACTTGGGACCAACAGATGGCATAATGGTTATGTTGTTGGACTCCCATATAGTCGATGGTTCAAGTCCCGGACCCAGTTGCTTAAAACTCACACCAGGTATATATATATGCATGTGTGCCTGAGACCCCAAGAGGAGAATGGAGAAGAAGGGATTGCAGCATGGCCATACCCCCGGGGGTGATTTCTCGATCTCTGTCTCTGTCTCTCTGGTGAGCGCATGCACCCTATAGCAAAAATCTAAGTGTGTGTGTATATATAAAATATTAATTCCAATAATGTAAGATGTTAAGTTGAACTTTAAATGTTCTGAGCTGGGGGCCAGGCAGGTGGTCAGGTGGTTAAGATGCTGGATTGCTGGATTCCCACAAGGCTGACTATGGTTCGAGTCCCAGACCTGGTGGCTTGCTTTCTCACGTCCTCTCTTCCTCTCTCTCTCTTTCTCTTTAGTCAAATTAAAATAATAATTAATTCGATTTAATGATTCTGTTTAAAAACTGTTCTGAGCTGTAAATGGAGTGGATAGCCATGCCGCCTATCTCCCCGGCTGACTGTGGAGATCAGGGATGTGTGGGAAGCTGTCCCCACTCCACAGAAGTGCCATGACTAGGGACCAGCAGTTGGCATAATGGCTACATCGCTGGACTCCCACGTAGTCGACCGTGGTTTGAGTCCCAGACCCAGCAGCTTAACCTCACGCCGGGCGCGTGTGCGTGCGTGCCCAAGAGCCTGAGAGGAGAACGGAGGAGAAGGGATTGCGGCGTGGCCATCCCCCCTGGGGGGTGATTTCTCACTTTCTGTCTCTCTGGCTCTCTCTGTCTTTCTGGCGTGCGTGCGCATGCGCAAAAAAAAAAAGAAAAAAAAAGATGTGCCATTGACTAAAGGCTGGGGCTCTCGTCTGAAGGGCTCTGCCACCCACTGGGCTCATGACCTCAGGCAAGTTTCTTAACTTCTGGGACAACATAAGATCGCAAGACGGGTTAATGAATACCATACTTCACTGACTCGCCAGGCGCATACTGACGTCACAGAAGTTACAATATGAAAAGGTGTCTACTTTACAATGACTGGAATCTGGTGTTTTTTAACTGCTGGAATGCACTGGCCAAGCGGGGGGATATGGCATCTCTCAAAGGGGCCACACAGCAATCCCTTCTTCTCCACTTCTCCATCCTGTCAGAATTCTGAACACACACACACGTCCAGTGGGTTGTGTTTTTTGTCTTTTTTTTTTTAAGAATTATTTTTATTTAACATTATTTATTTGTTTGTTTGTTTGTTTTTAATTTGACTAGAGAAGGACAACATGAGAGAAAGTAACAAAGCAAGCTGCCAGGTCCGGGACATGAACCACAGTCCATCATGTGGGAGTCCAGCACCCTTAACCACCACGCCACCTCCTGGTCCGTTTTTGTCTTTTTTTTTTTTTTTTTTTTTGGGGGGGGGCGCTCGCCAGACAGACAGAGAGAGACAGAGAGACAGAAAGCGAGAAATCACCCCCCAGGGGGGATGGCCACGCCATAATCCCTTCTCCTCCATTCTCCTCTCGGGATCTTGGGCACGCACACACATGCGCCTGGCGTGAGTTCTAAGCCACCGGGTCCGGGACGTGAACCACGGTCGACTACGTGGGAGTCCAGCGACATAGCCATTACGCTAACTGCTGGTCCCTCGTGTCTGTCTTTTTTATAAGCCACTGGGGCGGGGATTGAAACTCTGGTCAGCTATGTGGGGTCAAGCTTCTCTTAGCCACTAGGCTTCAAGGCCAACCAGAAACCTGGAATAATTGTTTATAGCTAAATATCCAGCAAGGAGCTAGCCAGTGGCACAGGCAGTAGTACGCGAAGCAGAAGCCACATGCAGGACCAGGGTTCAGACCCCAGGTCGTCCTGAAACACACCGGGTATGCACATGCACCATGACCCTGGCTAGCTGGAAAGCTATAGGGGGAGAGGGACCACCAGGTGGTCCCCTGGTCAGGGGTATCTCTATGTCTGTGTGTGTCTGTTTCTCGCTCTCTC